TATTGAAAAAAATCCATGTATAAGTGGAGCCCCACAGTTCAAACCTGTGTTGTTCAAGGGTCAGCTGTACTCAGAAGGCTCTTGCCTCAGTAGTGTCAAGATAAGCCGTAGATTAAATGCTGCACAGGTGGTACCAACATCTTAAAAGCAAAGACCCAAAAGCACTGAACTGTTTCCAGGTAACTTAACTGCCTCCCAGAGCAAAGCTCAGTATATTTATAGGAATAAAAAACATTCAGCACCCATCAAGGTAAAATTCACAGTGTCTCGTATCCAGTAAAAAATCGCCAAGCATACAAAGAAGGAGAAAAGCCGGCCCATACTGAGAAGAGAAATCAATTAACCAAAAACAACCCAGGATTGACATAGATGTTGGAATTCTCAGATTAAGGACATTAAAACAGTTATTATAGCTATATTACTTATGTTCAAAAAGAGAGAGGAAGGATTTAAAATCATAAGTAATTGAAAAAGTAAAAATAACCCAAATCAAATGTCTAGAGGTTAAGACCATGATGTCTTGAGATGGGATTAATAGAAGATTAGATATTCAAGAAGAAAAGATTAGTGAACTTGAAGACATCACAGTAGAAACCAGTTTGGAAAAGAGTTTGACTGTTTCCTACAAAGTTAAAAATACACTGGCCATCCCTCTCTTAGGTATTTACCCAAGAGAAATGAAATCATATGTCCATCAAAGACGTGTATGTTACTGTTCATTGCAACTTATTTGTAATAGCCTCAAACTGTGGAAAACACAACATGTCCATAACCAGTGGGTAGATAAACAAATTGTTGTATATCCATACAATGGAATACTACTTAGTAATAAGAAAGGGATTATCATTACGTGTAACAATGTGGAAGAATCTCAGACAATATATTTTGAGTGCAAGAAGCCAGATTTTAAAAGAACATTCTGAAATTCCTTCTATCTAAAATTCTGTATAATTCAAGCTAAGTCACAAATCAAATCACTGGTTCCCTGGAGATATGGTAGGGGAAGTGTGGAGGAATTAACAAGGGGCATAAGAAAAGTGTTAGGGGGAGGTGAATAAATTCATAATCTTGATTATGATGGTGGTTTCACTGGTATATTTGTCAAAACTTACAAATTGTGGATTTTAAATATGTGCAGTATTTTATATCAATCATAATAAAGCTGTTAAATTTTTTTGAAAAGAGCAAATCAAACCTTAAGTAAGTATGGAAAGAAAACAAATCATACACATGCACACAGAAATCAATAAAGCAGAAAATGGATAAACAGTAGAGAAAATGAACAAAACCTAAAGCTGTTTTTTGAGATCAGTTAAATTGATAGTTCTCTTGCTAATGTGAATAAGAACAAGAGAGAAAACACAAGTTAATCATATTGAAAATGAAAGGTACCTACAGACACTGAATGGATTATAAGACAACATTAAGAGCAAATTTAGGCTGGTAAATTTAAAGGTTACATGAAACATTAAAAAGGTAGAAAAACTCTTTTTAAAGGTGTAAGTTACTACAGCTGACAGAAGCAAAAATTTAAAGTCTGAGTAACTCTACATTTAATATATAAAGTTATTGATAGTTAACAATCAAAACCTTTCCCCGAAAAAACCCAAGCCCAGATGGCTTCACTGGTAAAGTTTGTCTAATATTTAAGGAAAAAATGTTAGCAGTCATTCACAAATAGAGAAAGATGAAATGTTGCCTAATTCATTTTATGAAACCAGCATTAACCCTGATACTAAAACCAGACAAAGACATTACAGGAAAAGGAAACTATTACAGACTATTTCTTACAACCATAGAGGCAGAAATCATTTACAAATATTTGTAAATTGAATTCATTAAATATAATAAAAGTATATACATATGTATATAATATAACTCACGGTCAAGTGGGCTTTACCCAGGACTATAAGGCTTGTTTAACAATTTGTACATAATCCATTATTGTAGTTCACCATATATTAGTACAATGAATGAAAAAATTCATTTGATCATTTCAATAGATGGAGGAAAAAGCATTTCACAGTACTTAACAACAATATTTAAAATTTCGTGTTTTTTGTTTTTAAATAATTAAACTCGCAGCAGAGTAAGAATGGAAGGAAACAGTCCCATGAGAGTTATCTTTTCTCCGTATCTTTGCCGCCATTTATCTCTTACTTTTTGACGGTAGCCATTCTAACAGGTATGAGATGATACCTCATTATGGTTTTTGGTTTGCATTTCCCTAGTGACTAGTGATGTTGAGCATCTTTTCATGTACCTATTGGCCATTTTTTTTTTTTTTTTTTTTCGGTACGCGGGCCTCTCACTTTTTT